TTCATAGTGAGCTTAAGATTTGATGTAATTAGACAAAGGACAAAATGAGAAGAAACTTCTCTGAGGACCTATGAGGATGCACATTTGTCCATCAAAGGACAGCAGGGTGGTAATCTATACCTCAAGAGACTCCATAGACATAAGATTTAACCATATAGTATAAAAACTGAATCTATAGCTGTGTGACATCAAAATGTCAGTTGCTTGCTTCCTGGATCATAATATTCTGCACATACTTCCTTGGCTTGCATTGATAAAGTATTAACTCATTGAGATGCTGTTTGCTTTTCTGTGTTTCTTATCTATTACTTGCTAAAAGGAGAAATGGAGAACTCAGCAGAATGCCAATCAACATGGAGTACAGGGCTATACTGGGCTGAGAGTCCAGACTCTCAGTCTTTAAGGGCAAGAAAGATGTAAAATGTCACTCAGTAGAACACAGACAGCTTCACCAAAATACTGACGTGGGCATATACTGAGGGCACTGAAGCTAAGTGGGCCTGTATCCTTACATGAACCTGGGATTTTTGTAATGGGCTTTGGGTATGTTCTTCCTCCTGCAGTGAAACATGTCTGAATGTCACAAGATCATATTGCATTATCTTCAAAACAGTTTTGCTTATAGACAAGGCATTACACTAAAATTTTAGGATATAAAATATTTAGAACATAAAAGTTTTAGGATGTAAATAACTCTAAGATCCAAATATAGATTTTAATAATACATATACCATTCCTTTTTTTTCTTCAATAGATTTTATGAGTTACTTGAGAATTACAATATACTTGATATGGTATACAATAAATACAATATGTGATTACAATTTTTATTTTTTAAAAAATTAAAAAAATGGCCTGGGTAGCACACATTTTAATCCAAGCACCTAAGAGGCAAAAGTCAGGCAGATCTCTGTGAGTTGGAGGCCAACCTGGAATACATAGTGGGTTCAAGGACAGACAAAGGTACATTGAAGACCCTGTCTCAATGCAGATAGATAGACAGACAGACAGATAGATAGATTTTCATACAATATATATTCATCATAATCTTTCCTTTCCTCAACTTCTTCCAGGTCATCTCCACTTCCCTATCCACCCAACTTAATGCTCAAAGTCTCCCCTTCACCAAAAAAAAACTAACACTAAAACTTCACCAAAAAACCAAATTTATTAGAAGATAGTGAGAGAAAAACACTGAGGGAAACAAGTATTGAGATCATTCAATCATAGTAAAATCCTAAAAACACTTTCAATCAATTATTGCTCCTGAATATCTTATTCCAACATCTGCTTTTTTGATGAAAAGCAGAAGAAACTGGGTGTGCAGACGGAAGTGTGGTAATGCTAGATAAAGTTGTGCACAAATTATGATGTCTGTCTTTTGGGGGATGGTATTATGCACTGTGTATTCAGATGCTGATTTCTGTTTCCAGAGATCTGGTTGAGACTGGACATGGGCACTGTCATTTCTATGAAGTAGAATACCTTACACTTATAACGTAAGATACTTAACTTACATTATAAGTGAAGGTTTTAGTATAGTGATGGCATTTTAGAATTCTTTGGTAATTTATAGAGATCAAGTTATTAAAATATAAGGACAGGTCTACAAGTATGCTTCTAAACTACCATACATCATAACTAATATTGAGGAGACCAACTAAAGAGACATCATAAAGGTAAACAGAAAAACAGAAAAGGACCAGCTCTGTATAATCATACAATCAGTGAGTTTGCTCTTTAATTTACCTAAGCCTCATTTTTGGGCTGTTCTTTATAAGGTTGATTAAAAATTAATTGCACAGAGAACACCTTCTGCTTCTTAGAAAACATTTCTTGAGTTAGATTAATTCAATATGCATATTCCATATATTGGGCACTTATAACTCAGACACATCGATAAATGAATTGTCTTTATAGATACTTAAAATTCATTGACAAGTGAAACAAGACAGGCTGCTTGAGTCCAGTAAATAAAACACTCCTATGTTTTTAAACAAGCAGACACAGAAAAAAATTATTCTTATTTGGTGAATATCAATGAACACTTAAATTGAGCCCTAAACATTGAACAAAATCATTGGTAACTGTTAATAACACCAACCTGGGCCTGTGTGGAAAGTTGTGTTTAGGCATCACTGCACTGAATGAATCATAATGAACACATACTAACTGCTTCCTTGATTTAAAAGTTGGCAATTAAATCTTAATAAAACAAATGTGAAAGTCTGGAAACCAAAACCACTGCCATGTGATCGAGATATGACCTGAAGGTAGAAGTTAGAAAACTCAGACGAATCTTGACTGGAAAGGGTGGTAATGGATTATGTGAGAAGGCAGCTAGCTCTGTCAGGCTTTGGAGGGTGGTGGTGAGACAGAGAACAAGCACAGACGTTAACCGCATCATTGGGTATGTATTAATGAGGGGAACGCCCATGCAGGGACATTTTCACACATCATTTTTGGAGTGCTTACTTACACTCCAAAGCCTTTCATTTACAGCTCAGTAAACACTGGACGTTGTAGGAAAGCTACTCTGCAGAGCAGGAATTTAGCCATCAGTCCAACCCATCTTTGCTGCACCCCTGGAGTTTCTGGAGTGGGAAGATCTTGCTATCCAGTAGTGGGATTTGGGGCACTGATTTTGGCCAGCACCGTCAACAGTAAGCCTCTTCGACAGAGCACTGTAGGCGCGTGGCCCTTTAATAGCACATGTGTGTATCTCAGTCAGAACTGCCTAAGGCTTTCTTCCTCAGCAGCTAAGCCTCTCTTGGCAGAGTACTGATTACCCTGGACAAGAGAGGGGAGAGATGAATATATTTCTTCTCCTAGATACTGTATCTCGACTTGACGTTTTATTCATCTCAACCTTTAAGCTTATCTTGCTTCAAATGATAAAACTAGCTTTCCCCACAAATCGCAATGTTTAATCCACCACCAGTTAGAGTTGGTATTCAGGTGCAGTTAATTGTTCTGTGTCAGATCGCCCAGCCCTTCTCAGACTGACTCCCTCAGAGAACAACAACTCCACACAAAACAAAATCAGCAACTTGCTTTAGGATTAAGGAACAATCGATGGCAGCACGACCAGGGAGTAAATCTCATTAATTGGGTACAATGGTAGCTTGTCATTCCTGTCTCATACATCCAAAAGGCTTTAAGTCCTTAGCACAGCAGCACAAGGTCAACTGCCTCTTGGCCCCCACCTACTCCAATACCCAAAGGGCATTTGACACTTGACTCTTGATTATTTAGCTGGTAGAAGTTTCAAGGAATAGGGCTCAGCTGAATTGGATCTGGTTAATGGTCACTTCTCAGTTGCTTAGGACTTTTCAGAAGTAGAAAAAATGCTGATCAGAACCTCAGCATTTAAAAAACCCATGTATGTATATATATACATATATATATACATATATATACATATATGTATATATATTAGATACATATATATACATATATGTATATATATTAGTATATTAGTATATATACATATACTAATAGTATATATATATATAATACTAATATGTATATATATACTATAATATATATGTATATATATATTAGTTTCTCTGTGTGTTTTACTGTGTATATGCGTGTGTGTTGGGTATGAGCATGCACAAGTGTGCTTGTTCTGTGTGGACAGCAGAGGTCAACTTACTGGATGCATCCTTGATCACTGTCCACCTTTTTTAAAATAGTTTTTCACTATATCTGGAACTGACCTATTTGGCTAGTCTGGGTGGCTACCAAGCACTGGTAATGATCCCGTCTCTGCCTCTCCAGGACTGTGCTGGCAGGCACCACTTTTATTTCATAAATCTCCCTCTGTTAGATTGGAAAACACACTCTTAATGTCTTAACAGAGAGAAGGAAGCAAGCTTACAGTGAGCTTTAGTGGTCTAGTACCACCATTTCCTGTGTCCCTCTGTGTATTTGCACAGTGCACTTGGAACATTGTGCCTGCTGAAGCACTCTACCTCTCTGAGAGAAGGCTACATGCCTCTTAATTGCCTAATGCACGCTCTGAGCTGCCTGTGACAGATTCAGTGTAGGGGAAAGGTGGCTTTTATTCTTGTGAATGCACGCATTCACAAGAGACGCAAACTTACTGAGTCATGAACATTCTGATCAAGGCTTTCTGAATTTAAATAATGCGTTAGGTGCTGGGCATTAGCCGAAGAGGTCCATGATCATCAAGGCACCAATGAAAGCACCCATGCTTTCAGCTGCAATGCTGAGCTCTGGCTGACCGCTGGATCTCACATAGACAAGCTCCATATTCTCTCAGGCATTATCAGATGAGGTGGGAGTACCTACCCAGGGACAATTGTCTCCTGGATTGCAGGAGGTGGTGCAGGTATCACCACCTGGTACAGGCTGATGAGACTGATGAGAAGGGCAAAAATTGGAGTAACAAGAAAAAGCCACTTTACAGACTGATAACAGCATCTTTGCTTGGGTATTCATGAGATATTCTGCCCCTAAACGGTTTGCATCCATTCATTTGTCACAGAACCTTTTCACACTATTTGTATGTGGGTGAAATGAACATGAACCCCTGAGATAACCTTATACAGGTGTTCAAATGTCTCAGCCGGTGAGCTGCTAGGGAGCTGCAGCACCATGGACAGCAAACTCTGGAAGCCTGGAAGGAAGGCTGCTTCCCATACACCTAGAGGCTGAGGTGCTGCTTTCTCCAATGAGAAGCCAGCCCCTCTCTCCTCATGAGTTTCCAGGTCAGTGAGAACCATGGGAATCAAAATACATTAGCACTTCAGGAGGAAAGGCACACAACAGTCTCCCTGACAAGGAGAAGGCGACATTTCTCTGGCCTGCCAGTAGACAAAGCCCATCCCTTCTCTAGAGGAAAAGATGAAAAGAAAAGAAGGCATGTGAATAACCAGGAGCCTCCCCACCAGAAAACGAGACTTGCAGAGACAGCACTAGCAGACAGCAGGCTTAAACAACGCAGTGATTAGTGGCCTAATTTATCTACATACCTCCAAAGCGAGCTCTCCGTGATGCTCCCCAGGTTATAGTCATAGAGCTTTGTCAAAATGAGGATCACCTGAAGGCAGAAGAAGAAATCACCGTTAGTCTCAAACAATTACAATCTCTTAGAACTGAGATGGCCCAGGGGAGGGCTTAGGATTCCTTTAATGGGCGCTTAACATAATTGAATGAATTGTTACTGCTAGGCTGCTGCAGCTGGGGAAGGGCTGGCAGCCTGGTGCTGATCATCTCAGGCCAGAGGCCCAGCCCACCTTTCTCAGAGCCGCCCCAGAACCAGCGCTTCCTGCTTTTCCATATGTCTTGCCCTGGTGGGCTTAATATTTTTCAAGATGCTTATAAAATTGTCAAATATGTACACTTCAATTTCACTCCCTCCACGCCCAGTAAATGTTCAAGAAAGGTCAATGGTACGGTCCCCAGCTCCCAAAACCAGACCCCACAGTCCACCATCCTTGATTACTGAGCCTCCATGTGTCCTCTGAGAGTGGCAGTAGAGGCTAATGCTAACCTCTGATAAATATTGCTGTAAGGAATAAGAGTGGAATCAAGTACAAATTACATATAAATTAGCACAGGGCTTTCAGCACCAGTAGCTTTCTTCTTTGTGAATTTGATTAACTGCTTCCTCTGACTTCAAAGCCAGCTAGGAGCTACTATACTACAGAAAGACAAAGCCATGACATCGTGACTGGGGATCTAGGACACATGGTCCCTGAGACCTATAAAGTTGGGTATGGAGAAGCCTCCAGATTAGGAACAGGTTATGGGAGAGAACGTACCCCAAAGAAATTCCCCTTAGCTCCATGGCAAAGGCCCTTTTCATTTGTTACCTGTTTCCAGCCTCACTTAAAGGAAATCAAACTGCTTAACTCATTTGTTCAGAATGCAGCAAACATTAATTGATCGTTTAGGACTTTCCCTCATGCTAGACAAGAACACTAAGAGCACAGGAAAGCTTGGAGACTGTGATCCAAACAGTGCAAAACCTTAATCAAAAATTTAAAAAAAGGGACTTTCAGAGACCTGACCCTTGTTTTTCCATGTTGCTGGCAATCTTGGTCATCATGGCACTTTGAGAAGACAACTTCCTGGGTACCTGCGACCAAGATAAGACATCACCTCATTTCCTGGAGTACTCAAAGCACCTGCGGACACTGAACAGTGCAACCTGCTCCTAAGCACTGACTGTTCTTTCTCCACCTATGAACTCTTCAGATATGGGAAAGGAATGTGCTGGGTCTGTTCACTGTTCTGGTATCAACACCCTAGTCCTAGAACTTTTGGCCTTGCTATACAGTGTTTGCAACCAGCAGGAAACCATTCACAACAGTGTCCTGGATTTTCTCTGAAGACCTTGGGATCAATTATAGCTACACTGAGCACAGAATGTTCTAACCTTGAATTCTGAGGCAGTGGCTGCCCAAGCATGCTAAATCCTTCCAAATTCCAGGTTACTGGCACAGGGCCTTATTTAGGAGGCAGGAGTGTAGATGATCCTTCTTCACAGCAAGTTAGCTAGGACTCCTTTCTAGGAAAGGAGAGCTAGGTTAACCAGAAGGCCAGCCGAGATCCCTCAAATCTGTTCTCTAAGGCCACTTTCTGCCAACCTACAGTAGGAGCTGCCACCATTGATCTGTGCAAAACTCCCTTCTTCAGCAAGATGTGAGCATGCGTGAGGTGTGTGGCACCCTATGGGTCCATCAGATGGCATGCCTGTGGTGGGGCATATGCTGAACAGATCCCTGTGCCAATTAAGTCACTCTAAGTGCTAAATTTCAATCACAGCCATCCCAGGAATGCTGATCAGTGGCAGCAGGGTGGCTGTTTGTTTGAAGACAAAGAATGATGTTGTGACTCCACCTCAGTGTGATTTTGCCAAATAGTCCTATAAATCCCCCACCAAGAAAATGGGAGTGCGGGCAGAGAGCATTTCTAGGTGGTTGCTCCTATGATACAATATAGCAGTGAACCAAATAATGGCGCTCAGCTGGTCACGGGCCATGGCTCCCACTCACATGACTAGGGAGTTCAGGGGTGCCTGGGAGTGGGATCCCTATAACCCAGTGTGCAATGGTGTGGGCTCACCTGCCTCCACACCAGGGATTGTTTAAACAATTCCCAGAGCCTGGGGGCACGGAGGTGGAGATCTGTTCCCTGCTTCCTCTTGCTGGGCTAGTAGAACTGAACACCAGTGATCCGGTCTGGCAGTTTATCAATACTGCAGAGGAGATGCATCCTTTGTAACATTTCACGGCATAGCTGTTCAAACCAATGCAATTTTCTGTGTTCAGAACCAGAGCAAGAAGGAAAGGTGAGCTTCTAGCCTTCGGTTATGTGTTCCATCGATTACCTGAGGTCTCTCTTCCCTTCCTTTTCCCCTTTGGGTGTACGCATCACTCACCAGCTCACTGTCGAACAGTTCAGTGATGCAAGGTATGTGGGCACTCTTAAATTATTTATTGGGCAGTTGTCTCTCTCTTCTGATTAGTGGTGCTATTTGACAAAATCCTAACCTGTTAAAATGGTCACAGACCAAATCACTGCCCCAGTGTGAGACTACGTGGAAAATGCAATTGTCTGCCTATCCTGGTATTATCCTCCTACAGCTCTGCATATTTTCCGATGTTAAAGAAATCAGCACACCCATGAGTAAAATCTGCTTAAATAATAATGATGATTTATTTCCACTCCATAAACAATTTTTGCGTATAGATTTTATTAGTTCAAGTATATGTCATTAAATTATAAATTCAGTGGAAGCAAGGATGTTTTCAGATTCGAGTGTGTGTGAGGTGTGGATGTGTGTTGCTATGTAGATGTATGGTGTGTGTGCATGTGTGGACTCGTGAGTAAGGGTATGTGTGATGTGGATGTGTGTATGATGGGTGTGAGTGTGTGAATGTGTGTGTGTGTGTGTCAATATGTGTGTGTGTCAATATGTGTGTGTCAATATGTGTGTGTGTGTGTGAATATGTGTGTGTGTGAATGTGTGTGTGTGTGCGTGTGTGTGAATATGTGTGTGTGTGTGAATATGTGTGTGTGTGTGAATGTGTGTGTGTGTGTGAATATGTGTGTGTGTGTGTGAATATGTGTG